AGGCAGGAGAACTGCTTGAACTCGAGAGGCGGAGGTTGTGGTGAGCCAAGATCTCGCCATTGTACTCCAGCCTGGGCAACAAGAGCAAAACTCTGTCTCAAAAAAAATAAATAAAATTTAAAGCCATGAAAGGTATTTGGGGACGATGGGAAAATCTGAACATGCACTTTATCTTGTGGAATATTATTGTGTCAATCTTAATTTGCTGAGTGTGATCATGGTGTTATGGGGAGGTGGGAGCTGTGATGCACCATCCAGGTCCCCCTTCAGAAGGACCTTCCACTGGGAATGGCGGAAGCACACAGCCCCCAGCTGCCGACCCTCGTTGAATGGCCTCAGCTGGAGATCACCTTGCCCTAGGTCACAGCCCTCAACAGAAGCACCCACATCCAGTGCCTGATCAGCATGAGAGTAGAAAGACCCCCGCCTGGCTCAGGACCCTGCAAAGGGCCATTCCAGCCTCACAGCTCTCGCTGGGCTTGACTGAGGCCTTGGTGAGCTGCAGCCCAAAGTCTCCCTGTCCCATCCCCGCTCTCTCCCTTTTCCCATCCCCGCTCTCTCCCCTTTCCCATCCCCCTTCCCCTCCCTTCCACCTTTCCTCCTCAACCTCTCCCCTATCCCTTCCCCTCCCCAAGCCCCTCCTTCTCAACACTACCCTTCCCTAGTCCTGCTTCCTGCCTGTCCTCCTCTCCTCTCTGCCAGGTGATGACCCCAACAGCCCTCTTCTGAGGTTAATCTTCATCTCAGAGACAACCTCCTGCGGAGTCCAGCTTGGGACATTTGGTGCCGGAGGGGTCTCAGAGAGCAGATGCAAAGATGGGATTTTGGAGCTGGATTCCCTCACTGGCTGGCGGTGAGGACTTCGGCATGGGTGGTGGATGAAGCACAGAGGTGCCACCTGACACAAGGTAGCAGCTCCTGAATGTGCAAGTCTTAAAACTTCCACCAGGGGTGAACAGGGTGGTACAACAGTGGAAGCAAGCTGGGACAACATATGAATATACCAGATATTTGAGAAATACGGAGCTCATGGGACCCCAAAAATCGTACAAACCAGGTGGCGATACTTACCTGTTTAGCAGTCAGAAGCCAAGTGAATGCAGTTATGCGTGAGAGCAATCAGAGGGGTGTGGGCTCACCTGGCGAGTTACGAGGATGGTTCACAGAGTAAGGGGCACCTGGGCGAAATGGATGGATGCCGACATGTGGGCTACTCAATCTGGACCATTAGAATAATTCAAGGATGGGTAGTCAGGGGGCTGAGGGCAGATACCCCCATAACCAGTCATGATTCCATGCCCAGTTCCTGGATCCAAACCAGCTTTCAGACTGAAACCCTATTGACTGAAGAAGAGGCTGAGTCTTCAGGAAGAATGCTGCAGCACCAAATGGTGAAGGTAATGATCCCCCAACTCCTTTTGCAGAAGAACCTACAGCCATTACTCAGGTGACTGTCCACTGGGGAAAGGGAAAACCGACACATTTTGAGGAAGCTGGGAATGAAACCAGGAGACACGGAGTCATCGCGAGTCCCTTGTCAGAGTGGGAGCATCTGAGGCCAAGTGGCACCTGGAGTCTTGACCTAGGCTCAGCTCACACTTATACCCACTCAGTGGCCAATTCCCTGAATCCTGAATGTGTCACTGGAACAGACATACTGGGATGTTGGCACAACCCCTCCGCTGGTTCTTTGGCCCGTAGGTAAGAACTCTGGGCGTGGGAGGGCTGAGGAGATGACTCTGAAACTGCCCCTGCAGCTGGGGCGGGGTGGGCAGAAATCATGACCTAAAGGATGCTGAGGCAGTGGGTCACTACATTTTCATTTCATCTGACAGTCTGGCTCCTACAAATATGAGATGCATCTTGAAGGGTGAGCGTGAACGGTTGTAAACTTAGCTGAGTAGTAACCCTGGTTGCAGTTGCTCTGCCAGATGTGGTGTCTTTGCTAGAACAGATAAACATTGTCTCAAGCATATGGCATGTGGTCATTGGCTGGTGAAAGTTGTCTTTTCCATCCCAAACAGAAAGGATCAGAAATAGTTTCTGTGCACTTGGAACAGACAACAGTATACATTTTGGTCTTGCCCTAGAGCTATGTTAATTCTCTCACCCTGTGTCATCATACACAGACGGTCCCCAACTTAACGATGGTTTAATTTATGATTTTCAACTTTGCGATGGTGCAAATGCAATATGCATTCAGTAGAAACCACACTTTGAATTTTGATCTTTTCTCAGGCTAGCAATCTGTGGTACCATGCTCTCTCATGATGCTGGACAGAGGCTGTGAGCCACAACTCCTAGTCAGCCATGTGATAACGAGGGTAAACATTCATTGTGATAACAAATATATATATATATATTCTGGGTATGGATTTGCCTTTCCTGCTTATCTTGTAGAGCCACTGGGTTCCCATATCACGCTATGTCAGCCTAAGGGGCGCATTTTACAATAAAGGAGATGTGGGAGTGGGCACAAGGCTATGAAACCCACGGGTCATATCACACCCCACACCACTCAGAGGCTGTCAGCCTGGCAGAGCAATGGAACAGCCTTCTTTAGGCACAATGAAAGCACCAGCACACAGGCAATCCCTTCTGAGGACGGGCCTGATCCCCTAGGCTGCTGTGCACTGTTTAAGCCAATGACCTTTTTTCTTTCTGTAGACAGGGTCTCACTGTTGCCCAGGCTGGAGTGCAGTGGCTCGATCATAGCTCACCACAGCCTCAAACTCCTGGGCTCAAGTTATCTTCTCGCCTCTGCCTCCTGAGTAACTGGGGCTAATGTCTTTAAAAAAAAAAAAAAAAAAAAAAAAAAATTATATATATTTATATGTGTATACACACACACACATATATATACACATAATAATAATTTTTTGTAGAGATGGGGGTTTCACTATGCTGCTAAGGCTTGTCTTGAACTCCTGTCCTCAAGCCATCTACTTGCCTTGGCCTCCCAAAGTATTGAGATTACAGGCATGAGCCACTGTGCCCCACCAAGTCAATGACTCTTCTGTGATGCTGGGTTCCCAATAAGTAGATGACACAGGCTGAAGACTGGGGTTTCTCCACTTACATCACTCCCAGGGACCCACCTGGGAAATTGTTCTTCCTGTCCTGCCACTCTGGGTTCTCCAGGTTTACAGATCCCATTTCCAAAAGGGGGAATGCTTTCACCAGAGGCCCTAGCAGGAGTCCCACTGAAACATTAGCTAGAGTTGCTGCCTGGGCTCTTCCACTGAGACTGCAGCGAAGAGATGAGTCATCTTTAGGAGGGGGATGGGCTCCTATTACAGAGTGGGAGGCAAGGTGGAGTGTTTGGTTTCCAGATGGTCCGTTTGGGTGCCTCTTGCTCAATTGTGGGTATTCTCTTCCCCAATTTTCACGGTACAAGGACGAGTTCAGCAGCCACAGTATGAAAAGGGCCTGGAAACCAGGGGCTCAGACCTGCACACGAGGGTCTGCATCATGCCACCAAGTAAGCTACTGAGACCAGAAGTGAGAGAAATGTAGGCCTGAGGAGGAGAATACTGAGTATCAGCTGAGGCCTGGCTGCAGCAGTCGGGGCTCTAATTTGTCTCCTGACCTTCCTCTTTAATGTTTTCCCCAGGGAAAGGGCCCCCTCTAGAATCCTGGAGGAGACGTTCCTCAAACCAAGACGTGTCTCTGAGGGTAAAAGAGATGAACTGTGGGCCGGGCGCGGTGGCTCACGCCTGTAATCCTAGCACTTTGGGAGGCCGAGGCGAGCGGATCACGAGGTCAGAAGATCGAGACCACCCTGGCTAACATGGTGAAACCCCGTCTCTACTAAAAAAAAAAATACAAAAAATTAGCCGGCCATGGTGGCAGGCGCCTGTAGTCCCAGTTACTCCGGAGGCTGAGAGAGGAGAATGGTGTGAACCCGGGAGGTGGAGCTTGCAGTGAGCTGGGATCGCACGACTGCACCTTTAGCCTGGGCGGCAGAGTGAGACTCCGTCTCAAAAAAAAAAAAAGAGATGAAGTGTGATGAATGCTCTAATGCACTGCTCAGAGCCCCTCAGGGCTGAAGGACTTCAGCTGTCCTTGGAATTGAATGGACTCAGCTGCAGAGTTCCTTTGCCTGAGAGCACACACCCTTTCCCAGGTAGCCCTCATGCAATGACCTGTTCGTATGGGAATGTAAAGGTCCAGCCTTCTTTTTTTTTTTGAGACGGAGTTTTGCTCTGTTGCCCAGGCTGAAGTGCAGTGGTGGGATCTCGGCTCACTGCAAGCTCCGCCTCTCAGGTTCACACCATTCTCCTGCCTCAGCCTCCCAAGTAGCTGGGACGACGGGCGCCCGCCACCGCGCCCAGCTAATTTTTTGTATTTTTAGTAGGGATGGGGGTTTCACCGTGCTAGCCAGGATGGTCTCGATCTCCTGACCTTGTGATCCGCCTGCCTCCGTCTCCCAAACTGCTGGGGTTACAGGCATGAGCCACCGTGCCCGGCCAAAGTCCAGCCTTCTTGTTTGGATTCAGGGAAGCTCTGAAGGGCCACTCCAGCTTCTGCACACTATGGCATTGGCTTGGCTGAGGCTTTCCTTGTCAAGGCATTCACTGCACCCCGGCTTTCATTCCTTCCCCCAAGTCCCAGGAGGATTCCTCAATGAACTTTCTGCAGGCTCATCTCTATTTCAGAGTTGACTTTCTGGGGAACAAAGCCTGTGACATGTGATCTTGTACATAGTTATGTGGGGGAATGTTCTTGTTTTGGGCTGATACATGTTGAGGTGTGGTGGGGTTAAGTGTCATGAAGTTTGCAGCTTATTTTCAAACTGCTGGAAAAAAATACCTGTGTGCATATACAGATACAAAAGATATAGTAAATTGGCAAAATGTTAACAATTGGTGAATCTAGGTGAAGCGCATACTTGAGTCTATGATTTTGTTTCAAATTTTTCTGTAGGTTTGAAATTTTCCGAAATAAAATCCCCTCCCCTATACACAGAAAGGCAAATGAAGAGGAACAAACACCCAGGGTGGTGGTAGCCGGGCAGACTTGTGAAATCCAAGGCCAAGAGAGTTTCAATGTTACAGAAGCATTCAACATTATCAAATAGCTACAAAATAATCAAGTAAGGCTAGGACTGAAAAATGTCTCATAAATTTAGCAACACAATGTTCCTGATAACTTGGGGACAGAGTGTCCATGGAGTAAATACAGGCACCTTGCCCTCTAGTACCTTGCTTCTCTGCAGATCGTCATTTAGCTGAAGAACCATAATTTCAGTTCTATTATTGAGTTTTCCAGACTTTCAAAAATGTGAATATCATGTTCAAAGTTCTGGAATAGTCCCTGTAGGAGAAATATAGAGCCACTCATAAACTCGGAATTTATTGAAGGAGCACATAAACTCTTATACTAAATAACTGTGATAGGTACTGAAGGGCATATTTAAGAACCGCATAGTTCAGCCACTGCAATTGGCGACCTGCAGGCTGAATCTAGACTAACCGTGGGATGAGTTTGGCTTTTGAGATGTGTTCCCAATTTTGTATTTAAAAATCAAGATATTTATCCCTAAATCCCGATTTCTGGCAATACTTGGCTGGAGTTGGGAGAAGGCTCTGGGGTAGGCAACCGTTCCCAGGGCACTCGGCCTGCGACACCGGCTTAAGGCTCCGGTTTGGCCTCTGTAGGCAGCTGAGGTCCCCAACCCCCCACAGGTCACAGCCGCGATGCGCAAATCGCACACTACAGCCCACAGGCAGCTCACCTGATTTGTAAAAAAAAAAGAAAAAAAAAAAAGTTTTATTGGAACCAGGGCTGGGATTAGAATGACATGAGTGAGTCAGGAGTTTATGGCATAGATTTGGATTTTTTCTCTTGATGACTGTTTTTTGGGGCCCCCATTAATTTGGCACAGAAGCCTCCTCCTAGTCCCCGCCCTATTGCGAAGGGCTTTGAAGGGCATGCGGAACAGCTTGGTCTTTATTTAATCTTTACAGTGGCAAGCAGCTTAATACACAGATTTTTAGCATAGGCAAGACCAGCGCAGGTCTGCGTTCGGCGAGCACCGTAAGTTCCCACGCCCGGAACTTCTCTCTAGCACATAACCCTCTCATATGACTAACGTTATTAATGCTAACTCTCTAACCTGTCAATGTCGTATCCCAGATCCCTCGTTTGCCTCTAAAACACTGACGTTTTCGTCCCCGCTCTCCCCGAGGTGAGCGCCCCAGCACCTGCCTCCCCGGGCGCCTCCTCCACCTGCGCGCCGCACGCCCGCTTCCGGCCGGTTTCCAGGCCTCAGAGGCGATCCCGAGGCTTCGCTCCGCTCCGAAGGGGCGGGGCTTTCTCATCGGCGCGCTCAGCATTCGGCTCGTGCTGCCTCGCTCCGGCGGCCGTCCAGCGGGAGGCGGAGCGAGTCCAAAATGGCGGCTCTCAGGCTGGCGCGTTCCGTGCTGCTGGGGCTTTGAGGTGGTCGCCGGGGGTCCGGGGGACCATTTCCCCGCCGCGGAAGCCCTAGAGGATGAATCGGGGGCCCTGCTAAGGTCTGGCGGCGGGGCTGGAGAGCAGTGGCAGCAAGGGCTGCGGTGGCGTCCACGCAGCGGGATGTGCGAGAGTTACTCCAGGTCGTTGTTGAGGGTCTCGGTGGCGCAGATCTGCCAGGCGCTGGGCTGGGACTCGGTGCAGCTCAGCGCCTGCCACCTCCTCACGGACGTGCTGCAGCGCTATCTGCAGCAACTGGGCCGGGGCTGCCATCGGTACTCTGAGCTCTGTGAGTACCGGGCTGGGTGCGGGAGGGCTGCCCCGGCAAGTCAAGGGTGACACCTCCGCTCTCCCTGTCCCTCCGCGTCCCCGGGGTGTGCATCCCGCACCCTGCCTCGAGATCTGCTGTCTCCTCGGCCTCCCACGTCCCTGGGCTTCCACTGCCCCTGCAAACTCTAGTCATCCTTCGGGTGCCTCTTCCTCATCCGCTAACTTCCCGCCACCAGCCCGGGAGCCGGGTCTTCGCTCCCAGCTCCACACCCTCCTACCGCTCCTCCGCCCTGAAATGCGCCTGGATCTCTCTCATTGTCTCCTGTTTGCTGCGGGTAGATCCACCCCCAGCGTGCCCTACACCCTCTTTTACCTCGGTCCTTTTTCTCCCTTGCCCGCAAACTACTACAACTAGTTGTCACAGGCGCTCCGTCTACCGGCCGTTTCTTACAAGACTGGCCATTCCTGAGCTCCTAACTACATAGGCTCGTTGACAGCTCTGCTCCGTTAGGGACATTGCCTCGTCTTTCTGTATCTGTTCGTTTCGTGAACGACATCTCCATTTACTGTTTTCCCAAGGCTGACTTTGTCAGTTTCGCTGATGAGATGTACTTTCACTTACGTCTCGGTTACCAGTGAGATGCCAGTTGTTATCGAAGTAGGATAGAGGGACCGTGGGCAGTTGACAAGATTCTCCAGGTAATCTGGGCTACAGTACTTATGGGTTTTAAGTGAATGTCTGGTAATATCTATAGCTAGTGGTATTTAATAATTTAATGGAAGGAATGGAATATTTTAATAGAAGCTCCACATTATCTTGTTGATGTGAAGCATTGCATGTGTGTTTGTTGAGAAGAGGAAACTACCACTCGTCTTAGGTTCAAGTCATGATATTTAAGGTGATAAGCTGTAGAACTGAATGAAGTATCTCCTAGGATACTTTGTTTTGTTAAAGTGGTTCCTATACTGAAAAATTGAGACTCACAGACACGCTGTATTTCTCAGGCCCCGAGTTTCTTTCCCTCTTCCACAGGGTGCCAAACTAATCTGTCCGTAACACAAATCTGATCCTGTCATTATTCTTAAAAATATTTTAACTGTACTTCGCTGGTTACAGGCTAAAAATCTAAACTCTTAGCAGTACACAGTTCCCTTTGTGAGTTAGCATTTTGCTTATCTTTTTCCAGCCTGCCTAATCTGCCACCACGCTGAGCTACCTGCCTTTTCCAAAATGTTTTAAGCTATCCATTCTTACATATATGCTGTTTCTTACCTAGAGTGTCCTTTGCCCCTGGCCCACCGGTAGTACTACTTTTATTTTGAGATGCACTTATCACTTGCTCTAGGGAACTCATGTTATCTGCTTTTATAATTCTGTGCATATTTCTTTTATATTATTTGTCATCTTGTTTTGTAATCACCTGTGTATGTCTCTTTCCCCTCTCCAGGAGAAAAATTGATTATATTTGTATTCTATAACCTATAGGGCCATTATGTAATAGGCACCTGAGAAATATTTGTTGAATAAATGAATGAACTGATAAACCACTACCCTAAAAGCCACTTATTGACTTTACATATTGAGTTCCAAAAATGTGTGTGTTTTGAATGCTTTATTTCACTGATACTTCTATTATTCTTCTTTTGAGACAGGGTCTCACTCTGTTGCCCAGTGTGGAGTGCAGTGGTGCGATCTTAGCTCTCTATAGCCTTGAACTTCAGGGCTCAAGTGATCCTCCTGCCTCAGCCTTCCAAGTAGCTGGGACTACAGGGATACGCCACCATGCCTAGCTAATTTTTTAATTTTTTTGTAGAGATGTGGTCTGGTTGTATTGCTCAGGCTGCTGTCAAACTCCTGGGCTCAGGTGATCCTCCTGCCTCAGCGTTTCAAAGTGCTGGGATTACAGGTGTGAGCCACCATGCCCAGCTCACTGATACATCTGAATGTGGAACCACAAAGTAATATGCATGTGTTTTTATCTTGGAAGTGCATCACCAGTTGACTACTCTTCTGGCTTTTGTTTCTTTTTCCTCTGGCCTGCTCTGCAGTGGTTCTTGAGTATACTGTTACTGATAGGATAGGATAGGCTATGCTAGGCATAGTCCAGATTATGTTTGCTACCATGTATCTTTAGCTATTCAAAATGTCTCCTGAATACTAGTTACCTTTCCTGCCTTTTATACAGAACAAAAGGGAGCTGGCACTCCATGTGAGTAGGTATTCCAAAGTCACCCAGGGGTCATTGCAGCTCTTCAGTGTAAACCTTCTTCCTAATTACCATAGCCATTTTCTTGGTTTCAGTGAGAATGAGATTGTCAGGTTCATTATTTCCCATCGTGATTTGATGACTTTTTTAAATACTAATTTTGGTATACTTATTAGATATTTTTAGATTCTTTTTTCTATACCAGACTTATTCTAAAATCGAATTCTGTAACTCCAGGTTACCACTACAGAATCTTGTATTCCACTCCTTTAAATCCTTTCTGTTGTTTTAACAAACACTTATTGAGCACCACTTATGAACCAATCCCTGTACTAGGCATTGGAGACATAAAATTACTAAGATACAATCCCTGCCCATAAGATGTGTTCAAGAGTGCCAGAATGTCAGCAAAAACAAACTAATGGTGTTTGTTTCTTCTAAAATAAATGTTCTCAAGTTAAAGCAAGTATGAGAAGTTACCATTAATTCAAATAATGAACAAATAATGAACTTCAGAATTGCCTTAGGGTAACAATTTCTCCAAGCATTCAAGGGCAGTTGTCTCTGTCTGTGTCACATTATATGTTAAATATGTTGGCATGCGCTGAAAGCAGGTGCTAAATCTTTCAGACTGACTCTTCAACACTAGTACTATAATATTTTTTGTATGGTACAGGGAGTAAATGTAAAAGGAGTAAGAGGAGAGATGGTTGTAGGCCATGGATTCTGGGGTAGGATTACTTCACAGAAAAGATAAGATTTGAGTTGAGCTATGAAGTATGGTTGTATAAAGGTATAGAGTATTCCAGGTTAGAGAATCACATAAACTAAGCTGTCCAGGTGAGATTAAGCATAATAAATGTACCAGTAAGGTGTTCAGCTCCCTATGCAGCTAGTTCATTCCAAGGGTGTCTGAGGAAAATGTTCAACACAGTGAAATCAGGTTATGGAGGGACTTAAAAGCTAGACAAAAGAATTAAAACATGTAGTAGAAAACATTGCATACTTCTAAGTAGGGGGACAGTATGATTAAAGTGGTATTTTAAGAAAATTGTACTGACAGTGATGTGCACAAGACATTGAAGTGGGCAGAACTTGAGACTATACTGAGACAGGGACAGTAAGAATAGAGAAAAAGGAAAAAAATCTGAAATCATGGTTAAAAAAAAAAAAAAAAGGTGCCCGGGGATGGGGAGGGGGACAGGGTTAGAAACAGTTCCAGGTTTTGGTTTGAGGCTGCAAAGCATATGGAGGAATTTAAGATGATTATATTTTTTAGACTGAGAGAGTAATAATAGCTTTAATAGGAATAGAAGAGTTGAAATGCCTGTTTACGTTCAGTAAGAAGAGTATTCGTTTTATTTGTTTTCTCTTTTTTATACATCATTAGAAGTATACATTAGAAGTAACCCATGCTTATAGAAAAAAAAAATCAAAGACTGCAGAGGTATGTAGAGTTAAAAGTCAGTCTCCTGCTTTCACCACAGCCCTCCCCTCTACTGCAGCTTCCATCCCCTTGAACTGTTAACCATTGGCTGAATATCCTTCTAGACGTTTCTGTATGCATTACCACACATGCGTCCAATTCTAGCAAGATTTGGATTCTTGTTCATTTTACAGTGTGATTTAATTTCAGACATACTGAGTTTGAAGTGATCAAATTTCAGGATTTCAGTTAAAAAGTCAGGATTTCAGTTAAATCCTTTAGGCTATTGAAAATCGGAAACTGGAATTTTCATAGACATTTTTAAAGATGTAGAGATCCTAAGCTCTGCTAAGGATAGGCATAAGAAAAACTTGCTTTTGTAAAGAAAAAAACTCACTATATCTAACTTTTTATCTTTTTATCTCTGTTTTATGTAGTGTTTTCTAATTACATTTTAAAATTTATAGGTAAATTACCTTTATGACTGGGCATGGTGGTGGTGCACTGGTAGTCCCAGCTACTCGGAAGGCTAAGGTGGGAGGACGGCTTGAGCCTGGGAAGTTAAGGTTGTAGTGAGCCATGATTGCCCTACTGCACTCCAGCCTGGGCAGCAGAGTGAGACCCTGTCTCAAAAAACAAACAAAAACCAAACTTTTATGATCTGAGCCTTCTTTGTAAATATTCTTAGATTTTAGAAATTCATTTAATGGTATAATTCATTCAGTAGGTATTTATTGAGTGCCAGCTATGTTCCAGCCACTGTTTAAGATTCCGCAGATGCATCAGGGAACAACAGAGGAAATGTAACAAACATTGATATTGTCAGCACAGCATGCTACTTATTTGATGATTAAAAAAAAAAAAAGGCCAGGCACATTGGCTAATTCCTGTTATCCCACCACTTTGCGAGGCAGAAGCAGGAGGATTGCTTGAGGCCAGGAGTTCAAAACCAGCCTGAGCAACATAGCAAGAACTCATCTCTACAAAAAATAAAAAATAAAAATAATAATAATAATTAGCGAGGCATGGTGGCATGTGCTTATAGTCCCAACTACTCGGGAGACTGAGAGGGAAAGATTGCCTAGGAGTTTGAGGCAGCAAGGAGCTGTGATCATACTACGACACTCCAGCCTGGGCAACAAGCAAGATGCCATCTCTTTTTTTTTTTTCCCCCTGAAACGGAATCTTGCTCTGTTGCCCAGGCTAGAGTGTTGTGGCGTGATCTCGGCTCACTGCAACCTCCGCCTCCCAGGTTCAAGCAGTTCTCCTGCCTCAGCCCCCTAAGTAGCTGGGATTACAGGCATGCGCCACCATGCCCGGCTAATTTTTTTATTTTTAGTAGAGACAGTTTCACCATGTTGGCCAGGCTGGTCTCGAACTCCTGACCTTGTGATCTGCCCGCCTCAGCCTCTCAGTGCTGGGATTACAGGTGTGAGCCACCGCGCCCAGCCAAGTTGCCATCTCAAAAAAAAAAGACAAAACAGTACTTTAGTATTATTATTATTTTTGGGGCATTTTCTGTGTGTCAAGCACTGTTCCCGATGCTTTTGATCATCTGTAAACTGCTTTGAAATTTGTTCTATAATATATAAGCTGATCATGAGTGTGATTTTTCTGTGGTGTTCTGGCTAGTTGTCTAATCATATTTAAGCTTGACCTTAATAATCAGCTTAAACATGATTCTGTGATATTCTATTTAAAATATTACATTCTTTCCAATAACTAGGTTAAAATGTTTGATTCTGAGCTGCATATTTACTTACTACCTGTTTTAATATTTAAAAATATATTCACGGGATTTCTTCAAATAATTTGATTTGCTTTTGACTTTGTTTCAGATGGCCGAACAGACCCAATTTTGGATGATGTTGGTGAAGCTTTCCAGCTGATGGGGGTTAGTCTACACGAACTAGAAGACTATATTCACAACATTGAACCTGTCACCTTCCCACACCAAATCCCGTCATTTCCTGTTAGCAAGAACAATGTACTTCAGTTTCCTCAACCTGGAAGTAAAGATGCTGAGGACAGAAAAGAATACATTCCTGATTACCTGCCACCCATTGTGTCTTCTCAAGAAGGTTTGTGAGTGTTTCTTCTTCATTTGTTAGGGACTATTTTAATGGATTTTTGATCCTCTTAGCTTTCCATGCTATGTCAACTTTATAAATTCTGGAAACACAATAGAAACATGTACTGTTATTTACAAATTATTCGAACCCTTAAACCAACAAACTTGCAACTGACATTACCAGGCCAAGCCATGGTGTAATCAAGGTTATGTCTGAAGCATTTATCTCCTTTGTAAAATTCAAGTAGAGGAAAACGGTGAAGCCAAAGAGAAGCCTTTCAACAGCCTTATTATATGACAATGGGGTATTAAGTAAACTAGAAAACCTTTGAAACAAAAAGAAAAATTGGGGTAGCTCTTTCCTTCTCGCTTACTATTCAGGCCATGAGTTGAATGCCATAGCTTTATACTGGAAACAGTGAGTGAATCGTGAGTATTCACTGATATTGTGTAGACTTACTTCTGTTTTTTATGATGAGTAGAAATGTTTATTGTTTGATCATAATAGAACTTTTGATTATAAAATGATAGCTAATCAGATACAGTGGTCAGTCCTGTTGTAGAGTTCCCTTTTTTCCTGTATAATTTTAGATGTTGATCACTAAGTTCACTAAGATTCTGAAGAGATATTTAAGTAATTTGTGGTCTCTAATACAAGTGTGCAGTATTTTTTCTTAAAAGACTTGGCCGGGCGCGGTGGCTCAAGCCTGTAATCCCAGCACTTTGGGAGGCCGAGACGGGTGGATCACGAGGTCAGGAGATCTAGACCATCCTGCTAACACGGTGAAACCCCGTCTCTACTAAAAAATACAAAAAACTAGCCGGGCGAGGTGGCGGCGCCTGTAGTCCCAGCTACTCGGGAGGCTGAGGCAGGAGAATGGCGTGAACCTGGGAGGCGGAGCTTGCAGTGAGCTGGGATCCGGCCACTGCACTCCAGCCTGGGCGACAGAGCCAGACTCCGTCTCAAAAAAAAAAAAAAAAGACTTGGAAAAGTTGCAATTAAGTTCTTTCATTTTGTAACAAATTCTAAAACCTGTATACTTCAGGACAATGCAAATGATGCCAGCAATTACTTTTACCTACGATTTTCTATTGTAAAATATACATCACGTAAATGGACCGTTGTCGCCATTTGTAGGTGTACAGTTCTGTGGCATTAAGTATACGTTGTTCCTCAGCCATCATCCCCCTCCTTCTCCAGCATTTTTTACCCTCCCAAATTGAAACACTGTTCCCATTAAACATATCTCCCCCTTCTCCACCACTTCCAGCCCCTGCCAACCATTCCTTTTTTTTCGTCTCTGTGAATTTGTCTATTCTAGGTACCTTTTATAAGTGGAATTGTACAGTATTTGTCTTTTTATGACTGTCTTATTTCACTTAGTATGATGTCTTCAGGGTTCATTCATGTTGTAGCCTGTGCCAGGATTTCGTTGTGTGTGTGTGTTTTTAAGGCAGAATAAGACGTTATATATATGTTCCACATTTGTTTATCCATTCACTCACTGATGGACATTTGGGTTGTTTCAACCTTTTGGCTCTAGTGCTTAATGCTGCTATGAACACTGGTGTGCAAATATCTGTTCCAGTTCTTGCTTTCAAGTTTTTTGGGGGTCTGTACCCCGAAGTAGAATTGCTGGATCATATAGTAATTGTCTACTTGATTTTTGAGGAAGCCCCGCACTGTTTTCCACAGTGGCTGCACCGTCCTCACCCTCCTGTCAGTGGTGCTCAAGGGTTCCAGTTTCTTGCAATTCATTTCTTATAATCGGTTCTACTTTAATAGCTTTTTGAAGCATTACCTATTTGTCTCAGGAACTATGTTTACATTGGGCATAAGTTGTTTTACCGTCTGTGTGTCAGGGTTGCCTCATCTGAAAAACTGGACGGATACTGGACCTAAGTGGTAGGGACTTGTTGTGCATTGGTGGCTCCTCATTTCGGCGCTCTGGATCTTAGCTGCAGTGGGTTCTACCGAATGATACTAACACACTGACAGCCCAGAACCCAAGCTAGGACTTTGATCATAATCTACACTTAACTGCTTGGTCCTTTTTGTCTTATTTTTATAGCATGCAAATATTCCATAATACAATTATCTTAAAGTGTTATGGTTATCATATTTAAATACCAGCAAGGAAATGTAACTAAGATAGCAGATTTAGATTAGGTAGTGAAGAAGTATGAAAAACAATTCAGTGTTTTTTTTGTTTTGTTTTGTTTTGTTTTGGTTTGGTACTGACTTCTGGCTGAAATTACTATATTGCCGTACATTTTTGGGTTTCTTTTCTGGATTATTTGAAGCAAAAGAAGAATCTCATTTAGTTTTTTGCAAACAATATAAATTATAAACATTTTAAAAGGAAAATAACATAAATCTTGAGAACACTACTTTTCATTTTTTATCTAACACATGTGGATTAAGAAGGAGAAATATGGCTGGTGTGTGAGATGCACATGGTTTATAAGGATGCAGTGAGTGGCAGGCAGTACAGTAGATGCCTGTCAAAACCCTGTCCTCTTCATAAGAAAAGGATGTAAAATGCAATTCTCTGGTTGCCATTTAAAAATATAAGCATACAAGACTATTTCTTATCATTTAGAATCTGAAACAGTTTTTTTTCCTGGGTACAGCATGTTAGAAAGTTCCTGGCATTCTGATTAGTGGTGCAAAGTGAGATATAGCGGTGAACCCCTTTGATAATGGTACTGTTCACCACGCTGTTTGTTTTCCTTTTACCTTCTTAAGGGCCACAGACAGGCTAGACTTTGGTCTTAAAATATTATTAGCAAGGTCCTGCTGTGGGATTCCCTCTTATCAGCCACTGAACTTGGTTCGTGTCAGGAAAAGCCTGTAAATGTCTCCCTGCGCAGCACCTGGAGCTGGCAAGTGTGTGCACATAGAAGTCCTGAAGGGGCAGCAGGCTGTGAGAGGCACGGCATGGACCTCACGGCGTCCCTGAGACGTGACTCAGCGAGTCACTGAGTTTCTAGTCTTCCCAAGTCACTTTACCTTTCTGAACTTTATATTCGTCATCTGTAAAATCAGTGTAATAACACCTACCACATTGGGGAAATGGGGAATCAAGTGTTTTTGTTGTTGTTGTCGTTAACACATTTATATAAAATTGGACAGTGTTTAACATATAAAATACGTAACAGTGGGCCAGGTGTGATGGCTTATGCACTTTGGGAGGCTGAAGCTTGAGCCCAGGCGTTTGATACCAGCCTGGGCAATGTCATGAGACCTCATCTCTACTGAAAATAAAAAACTTAGCTGGGCATGGTGGTGCACACTTGTAGTCCCAGCTATCGGGAGTCTGAGGTGGGAGGATCTCTTGAGCCCAGGGTTCAAGGCTTTGGTGAGCCACGATCACACCACAGCACTCCAGCCTGAGTGACAGCGAGAACCTGTCTCGAAAAAATTAAACACATGACAGCGAATGTTAGTTCTCTTCCCTTTTTTCTTTTCTTGCTCTCAAAGAATTTCCTTTTGCACTGAAATACAATATACATTAGTGAAGTGACGCTATAAGGGGAATCAGTGTCAAGCCACGTTCAGTGGCACACCCATAGTCCTAGCTACTTGGAAGGCCGAGGCAGGAGGATCGCTTGAGCCCAGGAGTTTGAGGCTGTAGTGCGCAGTGATTGAGCCTGTGAATGCCCATTGCACTTCAGCCTGGACAACACCGCAGGACCCTGTCTCTGAAAAAAAAGAGAATAATAAATGTAGAATAGTGTTACCGTCACATGCTGAGGAGCTGAGGGAACAGACTTACTAGCTGGGCTGGATAGATACTTGACTGAGGAGCTCTGTGATTATCTGCAGTGTGAAGATGACAGAGGAGGAGATGATGTGGAAGGAGTTATTGCCTGCTGTATCTGATTATATGTTTAGAAGTGAGACCTCTTTGAAAATATTTTATACATGCATATTTTTGCTTGGACTGTTACAGTTCTGATGGCTGGTGCCCAGTGTGTTTTATCCAAGAACATTCTCTCCCCAGCTTGCCATACATATTTTCAGATTCACACCAATACCATATTTTTTTGCTTCCTATTTTATTGTGCTGAGGAATGTCTGAAAATAGTACAGCGTACTATACCAAAGTCATTGTTGGTTCTCACAATGTGGTCTCTAGATCACTGGTCAATGAGGGTCTTCTGGGGCGGGTATGTTGATTGGTTCAAAATATTTGCATAAGAGAGAAATATAGGCTGGGCACAGTGGCTCACACCTGTAATTCCAGCACTTTGGGAGGCCGAGGTTGGCGGATCACTTGTGGTCAGGAGTTCGAGACCAGCCTGGCCAACACGGTGAAACCCCGCCTCTACTGAAAATACAAAAATTAGCTGGGTGTGGTGGTGGGTGCCTGTAGTTCCAGCTACTTGGGAGGCTGAAATGGGAGAATCACTTGAATCCGGGAGGTAGAGGTTGCAGTGAGCTGAGATCGTGCCACTGCACTCCAGCCTGGGTGATAGAGTGAGACTCTATCTCAAAAAAAAAAAAAAAAAAAAGGAATATAAACCATGTACCCTGACTTATTGCAGGAAACTTACCAAGCTCAGCTTAAACTTGGTAAAAATACTGTGAGGTTGCCACTTTTAGAGTTTCTATTTTTCAAAAATTTAAAATAGACTATTTTTTAGAACAGTTTTGATTTACAGAAAAAATTGAGAAGTTAGTATGGAGAGTTCACTCACATCTGAACCATTTCTTCTGTTATTAACCTTTTACGTGACTGTGGTACGTGTATCACAATTAATGGACAATCTTGACACGTTATTATTAAGTGACGCCTCACTGTATTGATATTTCCTTAGTTTTTACTGGATGTCCTTTTTCTGTTTCCAGATCCCATCCAGGATATCATATTGTGTTTGGTTGTCACGTCTCCTTTGACTTTTCTTGGCTGTGACAGTTTTTCAGACTTTTCTTGTTTTTGATGACCTTGACAGTTTTGAGGATTATTGGTTAGGTATATTGTAGGATGCCCCTCTAGTGGAATT